TCCGTGGAATCCAGTCGGTAATGGCTCTAGTCCAGCAGTCATCTTTAAATCTCATTACGTGACCAGCCCATCTGATTTTTGACGCCTTGGCAAACGAGACAGCGTCCCTGATTCTTAATCGTCGAAGGAGATGGAGACTCCAGATTTTTTCTCTCATTTGAGTGAAATGTGATACTCCAAGCATAGCTCTTTTAATTCCTCTTTGGGAGACCTGAATAGCATTCTCATCCTGTTTGCGTAGGGTCCAGGTCTCTGAGGCATATTTTGATGCAGGAAGAACAGTGGAATCAAAGAGATGTGCCCGGAGCCGGAGGTTCTTCATCCTCTTAGCTATTTCTTTGACACTCTTGAAGGCATTCCAAGCCACTCTCTTCCTCCTGTGCAGCTCAGGTGCCAGGTCATTTGTCATGTTGACTTCTCGACCTAGGTACACATAGCTGTTGCATTCGGAGATGGTCGTTCCGTTGAGAGCGAGTAGAACGTCAGGGACAAGGCAGTTTCTCATAAACATTGTCTTCGTAAGATTCAGCTGTAGTCCTACCTTTCCACACTCACGGTCAAAGTTGGCCAGCATTTGTGCTGCTTGGCTAATGTTTGGTGTTACTAAAACAATGTCATCAGCAAAGTGTAGGTGGCGTAGTTGCCAACCATCTATCTTCACTCCCATTCCTTCCCATTCTAGTCGACGCATGATGTTCTTGAGGGTGGCACTGAAGAGTTTTGGTGAATTGGTACCACCCTGCCGAACCCCTCTCTTGACATCAATCATTACTTCTTTGTAGAATGGTGAGATCCTGGTAGTGAATCCGCAATACAGCTCACGGAGGATCCTGATGTATTGAGTGAATGCCCTGATTGGCTAGGACTTCAATGACTGCTTCCATCTCAACAGAATCAAAGGCCTTCTTTAAATCAATGAACGTTAGACAGAGCGGCGTCTTGAACTCCCGAGAAACCTCAATGAGCTTGGTTATCGTGTGGATATGGTTGATGGTGCTGAATCCTTTGAGGAATCCGGCTTTACAATTTTACAATTTGACATTTTACAATTTCATTTGAATGATGAATGAGAACTGACATATTATCATTTCATTTCATCAGGTTGTTAAATATAAAATTATTAGTGAGAAGCATTATATTATTTTTTCTTCATCAAAATTTGATGTGTATGGTCTGGAGAGATAGTACAGAAAGTATGGCATTTTCCTTGCATGCATCTGAACCCAGTTCAATCCCTGGCACCATGTGTGGGCTTCAGAGGCAGGAGTTACCATTGAGCACAGAGATATAAATAGCCCCTGGCACCTCACGTAGCATATGACCCACCGACCTCCAAATTTGACGTATATTTTGTGCTTATAGTCTGATCCTTAGCGTAGTCACATTTATGGGCTAAGTGGTCACCAGAGGTAAATGGTGACCCTATTAGAGAAAGATCTACCCTACAGTTCCACAAAGAAGTCAGAAGCACCAAACACAAGTCTTCAGTCAGCACCACATCATCTGTGTCTTCACAGAGCTCCAGACTCCAGCCTCTCTTCTTTCCAGGCAAACTTTTCTGCTTCAGCACCTTTCCTTCTTATACTCTTTTTCTATTTCCACTGGCTGTTAACTTTCACAATCAATGGGCTCTTCTTACCATTAGGGAAATAAAAACAATAAAACAAGTCATTTTATTTGTTCCTCCAACATTTATACCTACTTTTGAGTTATCCTTATGATTATTTGTTCATATATCTGCCTTCTGCACTGGAATAACCTTAAGGCAGTGACCATTTTCTATTCTCAATTTATTCAACCAATAAATTTTTTAAGATCAAGGATCTTCTACATGCTGGTTATTGTGATAGGTCGTGACCCAGTCCTTATAGACTAATGGGTGAGTCAGACTTTGTTCAGATAAACTTTCAAATAAGTGCACAATTTCAGGCTGTGATAAGTACTAGGAAAAAGTAAATATGTTTTGAAAGCTTGTAACAGTGAGTTCTGATTGACTTATTGAATAGAATTCTCTGAAAGAATGTTGAGATAAATCAGAAATAATTCATAGTCTAAGTCCAACTCACCTAAAAGTTCCAAGAAGACAGGAGTTTATTTTATCATTGAGTCTCTACCACATTAAATCTATCTGTGTCTGGAATGTAGTAGGTTATCAATAAATATCACTGAATGAAAGATTTCTGAGTATATGATGCAAAAAAAATGAGGAGGGTGACAAAGATAGAAGAAAGAGATGTAATGTGATCTATCAATAAAAACCAAAAATCATGTCATTCTAAACATTAGACAAAATTTAGCACCCATTTATAATTTTTAATAACTCAGTAAAATGAAGAACATAGCTTAACATAAAAGGTAGCATACTATAATTTATAGTTACTATCATACTTGAAAATTATGCATGAACAGTACTATAACCAATAATAAAAATTATAAAAATGAAAATTTTTTTCTTCAGCAAATTAAGAATGTTCCTATCACTATCACTACATCTATTTAATTTACTATTACTAGTGTTAACCAGAGAAATTATACAAGAACAAGAAATAAAATTAGTTCCAAATCAGGAGTCAAAGAGATAGCTCGTGGATTAAGGCATTCACCTTGTCTGAGGCTGACTTCAATCCCCGGTACCTCATATGGTTCCCTGAGCATTTGCATGAGTGAATCCTAAACACTGAACTAAATTTAAGCCCAGAGCTCAACAGATGGGGCCCAATTTGTCCCTCAAACAGAAATGCAAATAAGAAAAAAATCTCATTACTTTCAGAAATACAGAAAACCCAATCATTAAAAAGGCTATTAGAAACAATGTGCTCAGCAAGGAGCTAGTCATAAAATCAATGTGTAAAAATCTGTTAATTTCTACATGTAAATATTCAAGAAAAATAAGAAAAGATTATATAAACATGATGGGGGGGGAAATTAACACGATCAAATTGTTCATTCTACCAAAAATAATAAATAGGTTTTATGCAATCCTATCAAAATTTCAATTACATCTTTAAAAATATAGGAATAAACACTAATTTTTTTTTCTTTCTTTGTGGTCCCATCCAGCGATGCTCAGGGGTTATTTCTGGCTCTGCATTCAGGAATTACTCTTGGAGGTGCTCAGGAAACATATGGGGTGCTGAGGATTGAACCCAGCACCTGCTGTACTATTGCTCTGGCTAAATTTTATATTGTATTAAAAAAGATTCAAGTCACTACTGCTATTTAGAGAAAGAAAAGGAAAAATGAAGTCATAATGCTATCTAACTTTATACTACAAACAATAATATTTAATCATGTTATTATGAAAATAGACACAATGATTAAGTGAATAAATTGAAAGCTCAGAATGAACCCACAAAAATACAAAAGGCCATGAGCAGAGAATGGAAAGTTTCTTCAAAAAATAATGTTGGGAGGTTAGGGGCTGACTGGTGTTTAATCTTCAGAACCCCATAAGGTGTCCCAAGCCCTTCCAGGAACACAGAATCAGGAATAAGCCTAGATTGAATGGGTTGCATGCGTGAAGGAGGATCAGATTTAACTCCTGGCACCACAGAGTCATCAGAACACCACCAGGAGTGAGTAGTGGCAGGAATAGAGGAAGAAGTAGTCCTCAAGCATAGAGGCAGGAGTAGTCTTCAAGCATAGCAGACTGTGGTTCCCCAACAACAACAAATTTGATGAATGGCAAAGCATAATAAAAAGACTAACCAGTACACACCAATAAAGTAACTAAGAGTATTTGAGGAGAAGGGAGTTGGAGAGGGGAGAAAATATTAGAGAGAAATAATGATGGGGGGGGATTCCATTGCAAATCCTACCATCAACTTGATGCCTTCCATTCTCTTCCTCACCTTCTCCTCTGCCCCGCCCCTGTCACTGTCACTGTCACTGTCACTGTCTCTGTTCATCGATTTGCTCGAGCGGGCCCAGTACTGTCTCCATTGGAGACTTTTGTAGTTACTGTGTTTGGCATATCGAATAAATCACGGGTAGCTTGCCAGGCTCTGCTGTGCGGGCGAGGTGCTCTCGGTAGCTTGCTGGGCTCTCTGAGAGGGACGGAGGAATTGAACTTGGGTCGGCCATGTTGGCTGCGTGCAAGGCAAATGCCCTACCCGCTGTGCTATCGCTCCAGCCTGCCCTGCCCCTAACCATTGGATTTTCCATAGTCTAGATCTATTTATATTGCAATCTGTTATTTCTTTTGCTTTATTTATATGCTATATGTGAGTAAACATTGGTGCAGTCTTTCAATTATGATTATTTCATTTCATTTAATCTCTTCAAGGCCCATCCATGCTATCACAAAAGATAGACATATTTTGGAGGCTGAGAGACAGCACAGCAAGTAGAGTGTTTACCTTGGACATGGACAAACTAGGTTGGATCTCTGATATCCCATATGATCCTCTGAGCACCACCAGGACTAATTCCTGAGTGCAAAACCAGGAGTAACCCCTGAGCATTGTGGTGTGTGGCCGCCAGGAGTAATTCTTGAGTGCAGTGTGGGGTGTGGCCCCAAATAAAGCACTGTAGCTTTGTCCTCCCGTTGTTCATCGATTTGCATGAGCGGGCCCAGTAACATCTCCATCGTGAGACTTGTTCTTACTGTGGCATATCTAATACATCACAGGGAGCTTGCCAGGCTTTGCCGTGGGGGCGAGATACTCTCGGTAGCTTGCCAAGCTCTCCGAGAGGGGTGGAGGAATCGAACCCGACTCTGCCAGGCCAGCCGCGTGCAAGACAAACGCCCTACCTGCTGTGCTATCTGTGGTGCAATGGATTGTGCATTGGACTTCTAGAGGCCCCAAACAAAACAAAACAAAAATATCTTTCTTTTTCTTACTCAGCAGATTTATGGAAAAATTGGGGTGGAGGGTTAGATGGATGACCCAAGGTCTCCTCCCGCCACAGCCCCAGTGGTGTGGTCTTTAGGACTCTAGGCACCCTGAGGGCAGAAGAAGAGGCCAAGGGTTGGGGTTGAGGGCACTGGGGTAGCACTGTAGAGTGAGGGATTGGGTTTCACCTCCCAACAGTGGACAGAGGGTGTTGAGCTGAGACTCCACCAGCTCTAGCTGTGAGTCTCACTCACAGCCCCACCAAATCTACAGATGTTTTTCCACCAGATTCAGCTTCTATTAAAGACAGAAACTAATCCTTTGACGTGGGTATGGTGCCATCAGCAGGTCCACCTGTATCTATGGGGCAAGTGCATCAGCAGCCTGATGGTGCCTTCGGGCTTCCTAATACCTCAAAACTGCCGTTGTGCCTTTGGTCGAACCCAAAACTTGGGGCCAAGTTTACCAACAATTTAAATGGGCAAAAGTTAGGTATGTGGGAGCCACGCCCACAAACAATGTCCGGCTCAGCTATATAAGCTCATTTTTTGGCTTTATTTCAGAGACTCATAACGTCTCCATTGCAACACTTGTTACTATGTTTGGCATATCGAGTATCTCACGGGTACCTTGCCAGGCTTTGCCCTGTGGGTCAGATACTCTTGGTAGCTTGAGGGAGGAATTCAACTGGCAAGGCATGGCCGCTTCCCCATAAGACAAACGCCCTACCGCTGTGCTATCTCTCTAGCCTCCAAATCCTCCAATTCCCGTGAGGGAATAAGGACATGAAAAGGATTTGGAGAATTCACTGCTGGTAAGAATTATGTCTGTTTCAACCTAGTGGAATCAGTGTGGAGTGTTCTCAATTGAATGTTGAGCTGCTTTGGGGAATGTCACCCCCATGAGAGAAATATATCCATTCAAAAGGTTGTAAGCACACCACTGTTCATGGAAAGACTAAGGAAAATAGCTAAGCTATGTAATCAACCTAGATATTCAACAGCAGCTCAGTGGATCCTGAAGATGGATCATATAAACAGTGTATATATACTACTCAGCTATAAGAAATGATGAAGTCATGCAACTTTCTGCAGCATGAAAGAGAACTGAACAATATCATGTTAACTGGTGGAAGGGAGAAGAAAGATAAACACAGGATGATATCACTTAGAAGTGGTATTTCGGGTAACTGCATGAGATGTTTAGACCCTTGAACCCAGACGATAGAGACGGAAGAAGGAAAGTGTGAGAAGAGATAGAGGGGGGCAGAGTGAAGGGAACTCAGGTACATCAGTGGTAGTATAATAAATGATAAGCATTCAGAATGAACACCTAGTGTCTGGCTTATGGCAATTAGATAGAAGGTAGAGTATTCTTAATAACTAGGAATCCTAGTGATAAAATAGCAGTTATTTTTGACATGTTATTTACGAAGTACATGTTAAGGTGAAGTATAACAACTATGCAGTAGGTTTGAAATTTAGAGAAGTTGGGGAGTAATAGAAGCGTAAATTTGAATGTTATGGTGTAACATGGGTAGTTGAAATTCAGTATGTGGTACATGACAGGTGTTTAATAAATATTGATCTGAAAAATAAATGATTAGAGGTTACTAAGGATTAGTTTTATTAAAACATGTTGAACTTAGAAATATCCAAAGAACCCTCTAAAAGTTTTATTTTTCTTAAAGATTAAATGCAAGTAGTTTAAATAGCATTTTATTTTCTCCAAATTTATCACATTATTTTATGTTATAGTTTATTTTTAATTATATTCCTTGGCTTGTAGTGATTTAATAATATCACTTGAGATAAAAACTACATTGAATAATCTCATTTATTATATGTCAGTTTGTCTTACCATATAAGTAAGATAAAGTATCTTATCGGATACTTTGCCCCTTAATAAATTTCTACTTTTATTTCTGCTCTTGTAGCACATACAATTCTCTAACTAAAATTAATAATCTCATTATTTAATGTCATAAATCATATTTAGACATACCACCAGAAAAAAACAAATACAAATGAAGTTTATTAAGCAAAAATTGAGTTGGTAAATTACAATTACTTTTTTCTTGTCCCATTCCATTTACTTATCTATTCCCTTTTATCCATGCAGCCGATTCATTTTCTCTCCCCATACATTAAAAAAGATATACACTTATGTATATCTTTAAATCTATATTTCTTCTATTGTGGAGATAAACGTTTTCTCAAACTTCTTTTTCAGAGTCACTAAATTCAGTGGTTGTCACATTGTTGAGTAATTATCACTACCAACTATCTCCAGAATTTCTTCATCATCCCAAACTGAGACTCTGTATCAGTTAAACAATAACTTCCTCACTTCTCCAGTCTCCGAACTCTAGCAATAATCATTCTGTTTTCTGTCTTTAAGCTTCAAGTATTCTATGTGCCTCTTACAAATGTAATCATATTTGTTATTTTGTGTCTGGCTTATTTCTTTTGGAGTTCTTGTTTTTTGTTGAGGGGTCACACCTGGGGGGTATTTAGGGTGTCAGTGATCAAACCCAGGTCAGCCACATGCAAGCGTCTTACCTGCTATACTATCTGCTGGTCCACTATTTTACTGAAAACAACGGTTATGAAGTTCTTCCATGCTGTGACATGTGCCAGAACTATCTTCCTTTTTAGGGCTGAAACATATTCCTTTGTTATGTGTGTCTATGTATCACTTTTTGTTTATCCATTCATCTGTTGAGAGACATTGGTGTTGCCTCTCCACTGGCTATTTTGAATAATGCCCCAGTATTTGTGGATATACAAATATCTGCTCAGAGCCCTGTGTTACTTCTTTGGGCTATATACCTAGAAGGAAATTTGGTAAATCAGATGTTTATCTGATGTATTTGAATTTTGAGGAAGCACCATATTGTTTTCCACAGCAGCTCTGCCATTTACATTCTCAGTTGGCAAAAGATTCCGGTTTCTCTGCATTTACACCAGAAGTTGTATTTTTTATTCCTGTTATTTTTGTTTGTATTTAATAATAGACATTGCAATGGTTATAAAGACGTATCATCGTGGCTTGGGTATGCATTTCCCAAATGACTAATTATGTTAACTAGTTTTCTTATGCTTATGACCATTTATATACCTTCTTTGCTCAAATCTGTTTCCTATTATTGTTTATTTGTTTGCTTGGGGGAACAACTGGCAATGTCCTGGGGTTACTCCTTTCTCTGCACTCAGGAATCACTCTTGGCTATGCTCAGGAGACAACATGGAATGCCAGGAATTGAACCCAGGTCTGCCATGAGCAAGGGAAATGCCTTACCACTAGACTATCCTTCCAGCCCAGTCTTTGCCTACTTTTAAAAAATAAGTTGTTTTCTTTGATATTGTTCAGTTATGGCATTATTTGTAATTTCTTATTCCTTCTGGGATATTTTATTTCCAGATGTTTTCTACTGTTCCACAGCTGCCACTTCAATCTCCTGAAACTGCTCTTTGATTCATGAAGGTTGTTAGTTTTTATAAAATTCAATTTGTCTATTTTTCTTTCATCATCTGTGCTTTTGATTTTATCACTATGAAATCAGTCTCATGTAATGAAGCTGTTTCCTTACATTTTCTTCAAAATTTCTGTGGCTTCCACTTTAATATTTTCTAATTTTAAGATTATATGTAAATACCCAATTTAGACAAATATACTTGCTTTATAGATCTCATTTAATGCTTCACGGTGTCTAGCAGTTTTAATCTTACAACTTTATCATCTATCTATCCACACATCTTTATAAAAATAGAATTTGGGAGTGAGGTCAACTCCAAGATGGTGGAAACGGGAGAAAAGTGAGAGCTTTCTGCCTGTAGATTAAAAAAAACAGAATTTAGGATATAATACTGTACAATGAATATTAAAAGCAAACTGTAAAGCCTGGCAATCATCTGCATGCAGCAAATAACCACCAGAGAACATGGTGGAACAGTCTCTGAAAGCTTTCCCCCGACCAAGAAAAGAACTGCCTCTCCCACCCAGAGTGGAAGCAGGAGCAGAGGAAAAAAACCGAGGCCAGAGAACTTCCCAGCTGCAGGTGTGGGACGGATTAATTAGAGCCACAGCGCAGTGTCCAAAACCTGCATTTGTACGTAGGTAACTCTCAGAGGGCTAGAGCGATAGCACAGCGGTAGGGCGTTTGCCTTGCACGCAGTCAGCTAACTGAGCCAGATTTGATTCCTCCCCCTCTCGGAGAGCCCGGCAAGCTACTAAGAGTATCTTGCCTGCAGGGCAAAGCCTGGCAAGCTACCCGTGACGTATTCTATGTGCCAAACACAGTAACAACAACAAGTCTCACGATAGAGATGTTACTGGGCCCACTGGAGCAAATCGATGAACAACGGGAGGATCGTGACCATGACTCTCAGCAGCCCCTGGGAAGCAGTGAGCAGAGTGCATGGAAATCCACCTACCCGAATACTGCCATACCAACCTGAGGGTGAAAAGGCTGTGGTAGGCATCCTGCCATAGCTCCTTTCACTTGCATCTGACAATCATGCACATTTAAACATCTAGGCCCAAAAACTGGGGGTGTGCGAGGCAGCATAGATACCCTGCAGAGAACAAGCTGCACAACCTCCCTGGTCAGCCTAACCTGAGATGCTGTTAAGTGTGCAGCTGAGGGTGTATGTGAGTGCAGGGAAATATTAGTTTGCCAAGCTCTAGTGGTTTGGAGCCCCTAGCTTCCATCCATGTCCTCCCAACCAAGACACTCAGACACTTCTAGAGATTTCTGGTCTGAAGCTTAGTCTCATGCCCAGACTGAATGAACTTGGCTCACAGCTATCCTTGACCTCACACAAACCTGAATTAACTGTCTGTGGCTGGCTGCCCAGGTCCTTCAAAACTGGTGAAAGGGCATGGTTGCTGCCAAAAATTAAACAGAGTCACAAGCAACAGCCAGATATTGCCAAGGGAGTCTTTGACCGTTGTTAATGCCAGGTCAGACGCAAAGCTTCACCACGAGGCCTCAGGCAACATCAGGAATAATAGAAAAATGAAGAAACAGAAGAGACAGAGTTAATTGGAGGGTGGTGGGGGCAGGGGGGTGGGGGGGGGGCTTGAATACACCAAGGCTCAAGGAGGATTTCAAAGCAGCAATTCTTTTGATGTACAGTGGAATAAAGAAATCAGTGGAAATGACCAGCAATAAGCTTGAAGGCCAGAGAAATAGCTCAGCTGTACTAGCCGGTACCACATGGTACCTGAGTACTACCAGAGTAGCTTCTAAGCACAAAACCAAAAGTAATGCCCAAGCTCTGCTAG